GTAAACCCTGATAAGAAAATGGTCTTTCGAATTGGACCAATTAACAAACATTTTTGTGAAAAAAAAATACCACAGTGAAAATAAGAAATAAAACTTGAGTGCTTTCATGTGCTTACACATATAACTTCAGAGGAATTGATTCCTCTGAAGATATAAGTGTAAGCACTTGAAAGCGCTCAGGTTATACTTCCTGTTTTCATTGTGGTATTTGTTATCATATTTGCAACCCGCGTTTTATTGTGATTTCTTCCACACCTTTTTGTATTGTTGTTATTGTTAATATATTTGGAAGCTATTAGCTACGGGGTATCTATCTTAGGATTCCCACAGCGCAAACAGATACACAGGGACGGATCTACTGTAAAACTAATGAGGCTTAAGCTTCAGGACCCCCAGTCCCGGAGGGGCCTCAGAAGCGAATTTAGTCCATACTAATTAAACGTTTTGGGTGTACTGTATGAGAAGCAATTGCCAAGGGGCCCCTCATAACAATTTAAGCTTCAGGGTCCCAAAATGTAGATCCGCCACTGCAGGTATCTCGGCTATCTGCAGATTTGAATCTTATGCTCTTATAAGTCTTGACAGGTTGACTATGAGTGTGTGCGACACCGGAAGTGGTGGAGTAATTAATTGTTCTTATATTTAATATATTTACAACTCATTGTTACTGTATCAGTTTTCTTCCAGATTTTAATGTAACTGGGATACTGTCTAAAGAAAAGTGAAAAAAAATTAGCGGTACACTTTTGTTTTAAAATTACTGGTGGAAATACACAATCCTGTGTCTTCCTGAGAGATACAAATATATATATATATATATATATATATATATATATATATATATATATATATATATATATATATATATATATATGCAAGACAAGCCACGGGGGGGGGAAATCCTTTACTAAAGTACTTTCACACTTTTCAGTGCGTCATCAGGAGCTGTGCAACGTTGCAAGGGCAGCAACAGGAGAAATAGGGTAATTTTTTTCAGAATATGGTAGCTCGGTGGCACCAGCCAATACATGACTGAGGGAGAGAAGCCCAGCGGGATGCCAACCACACACCAGTGCCACCACACCCCACCCCGTATGGGGTCGGGTGGGGTAGCCCCCCACTGTTTGCAGATAGCATGAGGTAAAATAACTAGGTGATAGTTAATATATGCTATTAAATGCTAGCTTTGACAAAAAAAAAATTACAAAAAAATCCCATCTAAATTTTATTACGCTTTTTTTCATTTCATCACTGTACGTGCATTTCCGGCGCTAAATTTAATAACTTTGCCAATTCATTATAAAGCCAATGGACACTATATTTAACGTGATTTCTTCCCCCCTCACCCCTCCCTTCCTAACCCATTGCCCATGTGCGCCCGGCGTCGCGTACACGGCACCTGAAACGCTTCCTAAATGTAGTTACGTATCGTTGTGCAGGTGTGTTTGTTTTTATATACATATTCAAGATTGTGAGGCAATACGGATGTATTTTTAAGCTTTTTGTGATACTACATGGGCGGAAGGAAGGTTGGAAGGGTGGTTGAAAGGAAGGGTGGAAGGTTGAAAGGTTAGAAGGAATGTCGGAGGGAAGGTTGAAAGAATGGTTGGAAATAAGACTGAAAGAGAGGTTGGAAGGTTGGAAAGAAAGATGGAAGGTTGGAGGGAAGGAAGAATGGAACGTTGAAAGGAAGGTCGGAAGGTTACAAGGAAGATTGGAAAATTGTAAAGATTGATGGAAGGTTGAAATATTGGAAGGGAGGTTGGAAAAATACAAGGAATTCTGCAAGGTTGGATGGAAAGTTGGAGGCAAGATACTGACAAGTTATGACTACAAAAAAACTCACCAGCGAGCGAAACGTCGTTTAATGAAAGCTTGCACACTGTACGTGTCCTTGCTACACTTGTTTATTGTACGTATTACTATCTGCATTACACTGGAAAGAATATACGTATATATATACATACATATATATATATATATATATATATATATATATATATATATATATATATATATATATATATATATATATATATATATATATGTATGTATGTATGTATGTATGTATGCGTACATGTGTGTTTATTTATAAAAAAAATCGTTCTATGAAGCGTATTTTTTTTTACAGACTCAATACGTACGGAAATAAATTTGCTGGGAATGACTGGCTTTAATGATTTAAAAAAAATATGAATAATTTGCATTTTATTCCCAGGCAAAATGCCCCCCTCCCCCCTTTTTTTCCCCATTCTTTTGTGGCGATTGTTTTTTTTTTTGTCTTTTTACCCACAACTAGCGGAAAGGTCGCGCGGCGTTACAAGAGCAGCGGCGGGACCTCAGCGTTTACGGGCGGACAACAGATAAAAAATATATGATGCAATTTTTTTTTGGTTTCGTCAATAGAACAAAAAAAATCAAAAGCTAGAGAATAATTGTTAACCTCAGGGGAAGGGGGAGGGGAGAACCTCCCCTGTAGGTCGGTTTTTATTACGAAATAAAGTCGGGTGTATCAGCAGTATGCGGCTGCACTGTCCTGGATGATAGTTGCATATTGGGTGCAGGAGCTGAATATCCGGTTCATTATGATGGGTTCTGTCATATCTGATCGTGATTCCTTATCTGGAGTTGGTGTGTGTGTGTGTGTGTGTGTGTGTGTGTGTGTGTGTGTGTGTGTGTGTGTGTGTACTCATTTATATGTGGTTACAGGGGGACGAGCGTTAGTTTCTGGTCCCTCCTTCCAGCCTGCTGCTCGCCAGATTCACGCTCTCTCCTAGTCTAGTGAGGCCCTGTCGTACCTATTCTTAAAACTATGTATGGTGTGTGTGTGTGTGTGTGTGTGTGTGTGTGTGTGTGTGTGAGTGGGGTGAACAGGTGGGATTCTTAACTTGTTCAGTATAAAGCCACATTATTTGCTTGTCGACACTGCTAGCTTAAGAGAAGAAACACTGCTCAGGCTATCAGATCCACAACATTTGCTCTGCCTTATTAATACAGCCATTACTGGGGCGAGCAAATGCCTGAAAGCCTGAATTGGCCTTTGCAGATATTTCAGAAACACAAATATTTGCCTGAGGCGGATAGCGAAGGCAAACTCCATCCTGAATTACATTTAATGTAAACTCCACTTAATAAAACACACTCCCATTGCCTCCCGCACGCACTTGTATGAATATTATCATGTTGATTCTGTTGAAGACGTTCTGTGTTGGGAAAATAATCTTGATACAGTGAACTGCATGCACTGTATGTTGCACACTTGTGCTACAATGAAGGTGATGTAGCAAACTGCTTGTCCTCTGTGTTAAGTTCCTGCAACACAGTACCAGCCCCTGGACCAGTGTACATCGCCTCGTACCCAAATATTGACGCCTTTTACATAATGCGTCGCGAAAGAAAACCGAATATATAAATACAATACATGCAAGCATAATGTATACTTGCATGTATACCAAAACCATGTAGATACAACAGCAGAGCTATGCTGGTGGTGTTCTGTCTGCACTGTTTTATACATTATTTTAATATTATTATTATTATTATTATTATTATTATTATTATTATTAATCCTACTCCTATAATAATAATAATAATAATAATAATAATAATAATAATAATAATAATAATAATAATAATAATAATAATAATAATAATAATAATAATAGAAAAAATAATAATAATAATCATAATCACTGTTTATTCCAGTGTTTTATAAATCCCTGGACTTCTGCATTTCCTAACCTTCGCATTTATCTACAGGAGTGCAAAAGGCGTCATTAAAATTGAAAGGTCTGGGCGGTGGCGGCCCCCTCAGAGCGAGACACTTTCTCCTCGACCCATGGATTATTTAGCCTTTACAGTAGTTACTGTAACCTTCCAGATGTAGACACAGCCCACCACGAGTACTGACACCACTCGCCTGTATGACTCAGATGTAGACACAGCCCACCACTAGTACTGACACCACTCGCCTGTATGACTCAGATATAGACACAGCCCACCACGAGTACTGACACCTCTCACCTGTATGACTCAGATGTAGACACAGATCACCACGAGTACTGACACCACTCGCCTGTATGACTCAGATGTAGACACAGATCACCACCAGTACTGACACCACTCGCCTGTATGACTCAGATGTAGACACAGCCCACCACGAGTACTGACACCACTCACCTGTATGACTCAGATGAAGACACAGCACACCACGAGTACTGACACCACTCGCCTGTATGACTCAGATGTAGACACAGATCACCACGAGTACTGACACCACTCGCCTGTATGACTCAGATGTAGACACAGATCACCACCAGTACTGACACCACTCGCCTGTATGACTCAGATGTAGACACAGATCACCACGAGTACTGACACCACTCGCCTGTATGACTCGGATGTAGACACAGATCACCACGAGTACTGACACCACTCGCCTGTATGACTCAGATGTAGGCACAGATCACCACGAGTACTGACACCACTCGCCTGTATGACTCAGATGTAGGCACAGATCACCACCAGTACTGACACCACTCACCTGTATGACTCAGATGTAGACACAGATCACCACGAGTACTGACACCACTCACCTGTATGACTCAGATGTAGACACAGATCACCACGAGTACTGACACCACTCGCCTGTATGACTCAGATGTAGACACATCACCACGAGTACTGATACCACTCGCCTGTATGACTCAGATGTAGACACAGTTCACCGCGAGTACTGACACCACTCGCCTGTATGATTCAGATGTAGACACAGTTCACCGCGAGTACTGACACCACTCGCCTGTATGACTCAGATGCACACAATTCACCGCGAGTACTGGCACAACTCGCCTGTATGACTCAGATGTAGACACAGATCACCACGAGTACTGACACCACACGCCTGTATGACTCAGATGTAGGCACAGTTCACAGGGAGTACTGACACC